GTCTTTCCTAATGCCAATACTGTGGAAAGTGCTTTCTATGTTTTCCTTTAATAATTGGATGGTTTCTGGGTGCAGATTTAGGTCCTTGATCCATTTAGAGCTGATTTTTGTATAAGGTAACAGGTGGGGTGTTGCTTCTTACTTCTGTAGGCTGCCGTTCAATTGTCCCAACAGTATTTGTTGAAGAGACCAACCTTTTGCCATGGGTTGTTTTCAGCTCTCTTGTTAAAGATTTGTTGGCTGTACATGTGTGGACTCAGTTCTTTGATTTTTATTCTTATTCTCTGTTTCTGTACCAGTACCAGACTTTTTGATTTCCAATACCTTGTAGTGTCTTGCATTTTGGAATTGTGATTCCTCCAGCTTTACTTTTATTCTTCTGACATGTTTGGCTATTCGTGGTCTTCGGTGTTTCCAAATGAACTGTCTATCACCTTTGCTATTTCTTAGAACCATGTTGGGATTTTGATTGGGATTGCACTGAATCTGTATATTTCTTTTGGTAATTTGGACTTTTTGATTCCATTGATTGTGTTGATCCAGGAACAGTGTAAATTTCTCTATCCTTCAGTATCTCTTTCTGTTACTTTTTTTAGGTGTTTTATAGTTTTCACTATAGAGGTCTTCCACTTTGTTTAGGTTTATCCCAAGGTATTTAATATTCTTCTCTATTTTAAAGAGGACTGTACTTAGAAGTTCTTTCTTAGCCATGGAGTTATTTGTGTATACTAGTGCCATCATTATATTTATTGATCTTTTATTCTGCTGCCCTGGAAAATTCTCCTATTGGTTCCAATAATCTCTTAATTGAATCTTTTGGTTCCCTTATGTAGAGAACTATCTTGTTTGCAAACAGGAATTAATTTCTTGCTTCCATTTGAAATTCTTTAATTTGTTTTTCTTGCCTAATAGCTTTTGCAAAGACTTCCAATACTATGATGAGTAACATCATAAAAGTGAATATCATGAAAGTGAATATGCTCGTCTAATTCCAGATCTTAGTGGAAAAGCTTCCAATAATTTCCCCATTTAGCATGATGAAGCCATTAAGTTTTTTCATAAATTGCTTTGACTGTGTTGTACAATGTTCCTTCCATGCCTACCCTGCTTAGGGCTTTTAGCTGGAAGTATTGTTGGATTTTAACAAATGCCTTCTCTAATGAGACCATATTATTTATATTTTCAATTTGTTGATGTTGCCAATCACATTTATTGATTTGTGATGTTAAACCATCTCTGTATGCCAAGGATGAATCCTACCTGGTTCTGGTGAATGATCTAATGTATTGTTGAATTTTGTTGCATAGTATTTTGTTGAGGATTTTGCATCTATGTTCATCAGGAATATTAGCCTGTAGTGCTCTTTCTCTTTTGTGTTTTTATCTGGCTTTGATATTAAGACGGTATTGGCTTCATAGAAAGAGTTAGAAAGGATTGCCTCCCTTTTATTGATTTGAATGACTTGTGGAAGACTGGAGTAATTTCTTGAGGCATTTGGCAAAATTCTACAGTGAGCCATCTGGCTTAGGACTTGTCTTGGTTGAGAGGGATTTAATTACTGATTCAATCTTCGTCCTATTTATAGGTATATTTTAATTATTAATTGTCTCATGATTCAATTTTGGTAGATTGTATGTGTCCAAAAATCTATCCATTTCTTCTAGGTCTTCTGATTTGTTGATTTATACTTGCTTGCAATAGTTCATCTATATTTGTTGATATATCTGTTTTTACACTTCTTTCATTCTCTGATTCTACTGATTTGTATCTTCTCTCTCTTTTTTATTTATTTATTTTTTATTAGTTGGGCTAGTAAGGAATCTATTCTGTTAAATAAAAAAAACAGCTCTTTGATTTTGTTGATTTTATGTATTTTTTCTTTTGGTCTCTATTTGGTGTATTTCTTCCCTCATTTTGATTATTTCTTTTTTCCTGCGAATTTTGGGATGTTTTTGCTGTTGTTTTGCTAGTTCTTTCAGATGTATGGTTAGCCCGTTTATTTGGTGCTTTCCTCTTAACAATGCCTTGCTTATTTCCCTTAAGGTTTGATGTATTTGTGTTGATACCTTCATTCATTTCAAACAACTTCTTTATTTCCTCTTTACTTCTTCTGTAAGAAGGGATCATTGAGCAGCATATTGTTCAGTCTCCAAGTATTTGCTTGTGAATTGGAGTATTTCAACTTTTTGTTCTCCAGTTTCACTCCATGATTGTCTCACAAGAAACACAGTATGATTTCAGTTTTTCTAAATTTGCTGAGGCTAGTTTTGTGGCCTATAATATGTTCAATCTTGAAGAAGGTTCCATGTACTAATGGGAAAAAAAACCCACTTTTTTCTATGTCTGTAGGATGAAAGGTTCTATAGACATCAATTAATTCCATTTGTTCTATTGTCTGGTTGGGTTCTGTTTTTCTTCACTGAATTCTGTCTCGTTGATTTGTCCATTGAGGTTAGTGGAGTTTAGGTTCCCCACTATTATTGTATAAGAGTCTAATTCTCCCTTTTAATGCACATAGCTAGGTACTCCTGTATTTTTTGCACATGTATTTATCATGGCAATTTCTTCTTGCTGAATGGATTCCTTGATCATTATGTGGTGTTCTTCTTCATTTCTTAATTCTGTTCACTCCATAGTCTATATTTTATAATGTTAGAATGGCTACACAGCTTGTTTTTCTTTTCCATGAGCCTGGAATATTTTTTTCCATCCATTCACTTTCAGTTTCTTCATATCTTTTTTGTTGAGATGCATCCCCGGTAGGCAATAGTAAATGAGTTTTGTTTTCTGCTCCAGACAGATAATCTATGACCGTTGGTTCATGAGCTTAAGCCATTTTCATTGATGGGTAATATTAATAGGTAGTGATTTGGCCCTGCCATTTTAGCAATGGGTTGCTCATTGTTTGATTTAGTCTTCTTTTGTCACTTTATTGGGACTTTTTCCATGTTTGTCTTCAATTTTGGTAGGTATTATTCTTTTCTATGTCAATAGGACACCTTTAAGTAACATTTGTGGGGCAAGTGTAGTAGAGGTCAAGTCTTTGAAATTTTTGTTTGTTGAGAAAGAATTTTCTTTCATTTTTAAAGAATTTCTGGGTTATTGTTGGGTTATTCTGGGCTGACAATTTTTTTTTCTTTTAGAATCTGGAATATATCACTCCATTCTCTTCTGACCTGTACAGCTTTCTTTGAGAGTTCAGCTATGAGGTCCTCTATGAACTGATTTTTTTCTGCACACATATTTAAGTATTTTTTTCTTATGTTCTTTTTTTTTTCTTAAAGATTTATTTTTATTATTTTTTTATTGGAAAGGCGGATATACAGAGAGGAGAGACAGAGAGGAAGATCTTCCGTCCGATGATTCACTCCCCAAGTGAGCGCAACGGGCCGATACTATGCCTATCCGAAGCCAGGAGCCTCTTCCGGGTCTCCCACGCGGGTGCAGGTTCCCAAAGCTTTGGGCTGTCCTCGACTGCTTTCCCAGGCCACAGGCAGGGAGCTGGAAGGGAAGCGGGGCTGCTGGGATTAGAGCCGGCGCCCATATGGGATCCCAGGTGTGCAAGGCGAGGACCTTAACCACTTGCGCCACCGCACCGGGCCCTTTCTTATGTTCTTATGATGAGAGTTTGAATATGATGGGTCATGATAAGGCTCTCCTTTGGTCAATTCCACTGGGAGTTCTGTAGCATTCCTGTATTTTGTTTCCCACTTCTTTCCCTACATTATAGTCGTTCTTTTTTATTATTTCATCTACTGCATGTTTGTATCCAGCTCCCATTTCTGTGCCTTCAGGCACTCTCCTATAACTCATATTCAGCCTTTTGCTTTTCTTAGCTTCTTCATCCAGCTTTTCAACTCTTTGGAGTTATTGCTGAAAATATCTTCCAATTCTGTGATTCTTTCTTTTGCCTCACTCATTCTGTTATTAATGTTTTCCATTGAGTTTTTAACAGAAAGGCTTTTTCTGCTGTATTGCATGCTTCATTTCTAATAATTCAGCTTGATTTTGTTTCAGTGTTGTCGTTTCCTGTGTAACATATGCCTTGAACTCCTGTACATGCTTTTTGTTGGTTTTAAAGACTTTATAATTTTAGAAATATGTTTATTCGGTAGTTCCTCAATTTCTTCTTTGACTAACTTTGAATTTGACAGGATTTGTACCTTTGTAGGAAAGACGTCATTAACCTTATTCTTTGTTCCCATGTCTCTTCTTTTGCACAAAGTCATTGCAATTCTGATTAGCAAATTCTCCTTAGCTCTGATTTTTAAGCTATTATCCAAATGTCGACACTCTGACTTTACTGATCTCATTCAGTGACTGGGTCTTCATTTGCTATCACCTGTGACATTCTCCTCAGTAAGTCACATTTCCAGGCTCCCATGATAATTGTCCACCATGGTCACCCCAGCAGGGGCCCCTGGCTGAGCATGCTCTACCCCCTGTAATCCTCTGCTGTGGCCACACCATTTGGTGCTCAGCCTTTCTCCTGCTCCTGTTTCTAGCAGAATTTGGAATTAGTGAGACGGCAGTGGTGAGTGTAACCTACATAACAGGATTGTCAGTGTGCCCATTATATAATTTTTTCCCCTTTTTTCTTCTTTAAACACATAAAGAACATTTGAGGCATTCCAAGCCTGCTCAAATCTTGGCCACACCTTCAAGAGGGTGGCACAAGCATTGCCAACCTACTTCTTAACTGGTTAGGAGACCACCAATGGAGAACCTTTTATCTGTAGGTTCCTGCTCAACAAGGAGGGGTCAGGGAAGGCTTAAACCACAAGACTCTTCCTCAAACTTTTTCTGTCTCTCCCCCTCTCCTTTCGGGGGGCATCCCACCTCCCAACTTACTCTCAGGAGGTGCTTTCCCCTTCCCTCTTCTTTCCACGCTCATTTTATTTCTATATTAAATCGAGTAAAGAACCCATTGAGCTCTTCTGGTAACGCATTGTGACATGGTACTAGTTAAGAAAACAGAGCCATAGTATCTCTTGGCTTACCGGTCCATGGCATGTAAGGAGGCCATCTTCCATCTTCTCACATTGGGGGTCACACTCCACGCAGATGGAGCCATTCTCAAACTCCCGAAATTCACTGTGAAAACATCAGCCGCATGAGGAGGCGTAAGCAAATAAGCTGTCAACTTAATAAATGAAGTAACATCTGCTAAAACTCCTACTGGCAGGGTAAATACTAGAGTCTGTTTCTCCATGAGCCAGGAGCATCAGAAACATTTCCCTCTACATTAAGGGATAAGTTTTCCATTAGGAGAAAAGATAAAGTGAAGCCAGATGGCTCTTGCCCTCCATTGGATTCAATGATAGACTCATTCTGGAAACTTGTCTCCTGTGAGAGAGATTCTCGCAGTCTAAAAATAAGAAAGCACAATATTTTGATGACATGGCAAAACTGCCTTTTTCAGTAAGGCCGTGCCTGTTTGCCTCACTGTAAAATTTTGCTCCTGGCTGAAGCCTTAATTTCCAAACTTTGAAAGAACTATTATAGTTTTCTTGTTGCTAAGTTACATGAACGTTCATCATTCTTGTCCTTCAAGTCCCAAGACTCTTCAATTTATTTTTGGTGAAACTTCAAAAAATGCTTTGATTTCCTTTCTTCTTTTAAAATATCTGCCTTGGAGATTTAGAAAAAAAAGCTTTTCATGGTAGATTTTATTTTCCCAGATTATTGATCTAATATCACAACATCTTTCTTTAGCGTACATTCTTTTTGAAGTAATTCTATACGGTATACATTAAGAAAAAAGTTTAATGGTAATATCCTCAAACTTTTTAACTAAAATTCACTTCTATGATGATCATCTTCTCCATTATTCCTATGTTTTTGTGGATATGTGCACATTCTGAGTATTTACATTATCAAAAATGTCTACTCCAAATTTTTCACAACATTGATTAAATTTCAGTTGGGAACAATATAGTCAAGTCAGCCCATTCTTGCTGATACTTATCTGAAAATGAGATACTAGGTAAAGATCATTTATAATGTCATTTGCAAGTCATTAATAAAATTTTGACTAAATATCCAAAAGTACACTTTTGTGCTTTATATCATAATTTATCCTTCCAAATCAATATAATTATAAATATGGCAATATTTGATTAATTAGGAAATAGCACAAATAGTTATGCCTAGCCTTAAAGGCTCATGTTTTACTCATTTAAGTGTTTTTGTCATAATAAACCACTGGACTCCAAAGGGTTGAGCATTGATTTTTGAATAAGAGGTTGAATATTAAGACTATATCTTTTCCATGATAAAATAGATAAATGTATTTTTTTTAAATAAACAGCACATATGAATAGATGGCCTAATTATGTGCATTATGCATAGTTAGTTGCATTTTTAAGTAGGATACTACCTTGCTACAAATCAAATCTTGTGAATTTTCTTGAGTTTAAAATCTCAATTGTAGGGAAACACCACTTCCTGTGATGCCAGCATCCCTTTTAGATATCAGTCTATATCCTTACTGCTTACTTCTGATCCAGCTCCCTGCAACTGGGCCTGGAAAAACAGCAGAAGAAGGCCCAGTTGTCTGGAACCCAGATATCACTGTGGAAACCTGAATAAAGCCACTAGTTTTGGCTTGGCTGCATAGTGGCCATTCCAACCATCTGTGAAGTGAACCAGTGGATGGAATTTATCAATCTCTCTTTGTAACTCATTCAAATAAATAAATGCATAAGCAAATATCAGTAACATTAAAGCAAACTTTGTTTTTGCTTTAAACATTTTTTTTTTGTTTTTAACACTTGTAATGTTCACTGACATGAATGTTACAGAGTTCTCAAAATTGGAGAAATGTTCAGAATATAAAGGTCAAAGTTACTGAATATGGTGGAAAGGAATAGTTAAAATGCAAATGAAATTAGAAGCATGGTTTGTATAGTTTTATATTATGACATTTACAGCAAAGCCTCTGATCTTTAGCTAATCGTCGGTTTTAAGGTTATGGTACTATATGAAGATTCTAAGTCTTAAATTGTTAAAACATGGGCAATGCTTTTCTTACTCTTCTCCACAAGCCCCTTCCTCACATCTAAAGTCGAAGGACAAATGTATTTGCTATGGTTTGGGGAAAGGTTTGGCTGTCTCCCAAAAGGTTAATACATTACTGATGAAATACTGATGTAGCTATGGAAACTCAGATGCAGGCCTGGCAGCACTTTTTCAGGTCCAGGTGATTGAATCCACACAGAGGGATCCAGAGAAGCTAGTTCAGCCTAGTTTCCCTCTGGGATTCCAGGCCCCACCACCCCCTGCATGAGTTCTACCATACCCATCAGGTGCTGGATCTTGAACTAGAACTCTCCAAAATAATAAACTGGAATACAGTTTTTCCTTTTTGAATTAGCTCTTTTTAGGTATTTTAATTAAAGAAGCAAAATTCTGAGTGATACATAAAATTGGACCTTTTTGGGATCATTACTGTTGATTATGCCAGATGTGGAAGATAGGTTGGGATCTGTTTACCGGGAGCGGTTGAAGGAGATGGAAGGAAGAGTCTAGTGAAGTGTTTCAGGAAATTCAGACATCTTAGAGGATTAGAATGCTGGCAGAAATATAGACAGTTAAGGCTTTAGGCTGATGAAATCTCTGATTGGAATCAAAAGTTTCTTGGACATTAGTCTAAATGTCATCCTTGTTACAGAGTGGCAAAGATTCTGGCTTTCTTATGCCCATGTTTTGTGACTATGAGGGAGGCTATATTTAAAAATGATGAGCTGCTTTGATAGCAAAGAGTTCAAGGCAGCAAAGTTTTCAGGCTGCATCATGGGTGGAAACATTAGGAACATTTTGAGTCTAACCACAGAAAAGGAAATAACAAGCATGTTTGAAACAGGAAAATGAGATGCAAAAATTGCCTACTAATACAGCAAGTGCAAACAGCAGGCACCGTGTACTTCATCTCTCAGTCACTTCAGAGATCATCTAGGCAGTCCATTCCTTCACAGACCCACCACGGATTCAGGAGGAAAAATATGTTTAAAGATTCCCAGGAAGAATCTTTTAAAGAAAGAACACCACAAGGAAACTCTCTCAGGATTAGCTTCAGATTTGGGTTTACCAGGCAAAGCAGGGCTGCTGGTGTGGCAAACCCATTGAGGAGGAAAAGGTATCAACTCATACCTTGAGGCAGCTTCTACTGAGATTTCAAAGGGAAGCCTGCAGTTCCAAGCAGAGTCATACCACAGACTTGGAACCTCTGCATGTAACAATGGAGTTGCAAGAATGGAACTGCAGAGGGCAGCTGCAGAGTAGACATGCCAACAGTGTGAGGTATCCACTAAGGAAAAGAAAACAACATGCCGGGAAAGCCTGGCAAAGTCACTAACATCACTGCACAGCCTCCTAAGAGTAGCCACATGGGCAAAGCTCAACAGAGCCGGGAGACATGGAAGTCTCTCACCTATATTACAAAGGATGCTCTTGAAACTACAAGCCTAGAGATTGGTCCCAGGGGGTAAATTCTTGCAAAGAATCTCCCAAGGGCTATGGTGAGGTTAGAGCTGCTGCAGAGCAACAAGCCCTCCACCCCCCACCACCCTCCACCCATGCCTGGGGCAGTATCAGGTGGATCTGCAAAGATGAGATGCAACCTGAGAGAACTGAGATGAGTTCTGTCTTGCAAAGCTACAGGTGTGAGGCTGCTCAAGCTGTCAACGACCCAGTCCCTAAGCACTGCACTCCTACATGCTAGGCATGGAGTACAAGAACTTGAAGTTTGTCTGCTAAATTGTGGTTTGGATTTGGCCCAATTAATCCTTTTCCACTTGGGGGATTTCACTTTTAGAAATGAAAACACATGACCTGTGCCATCTTTGTATCTTAGAAGAACGTAACTTGGTTTTTGAGTGTGTATGCTCACAGAAAGGAGAGTTTACTTTCAGGGTAAAATGAGACTATGGATCTTGGATTTTTGGATTAATGTTGGATTAAATTCAGATTTTAGGACTTTTTTTTTTGTTTGTTTCTTCTAATGGAAGACTGAAGAGAGAGACATCTAGGGTTGAGATAGTATGTTCTGATTCACTTCCCAAATTCCAACCCAAAGCCAGATCCAGGAACTGTATCTTATCCTTTTCTATGGGTCTTCGGGGTTCAAATTCTTAAGCATTATTTACCATCTCTGAGGCTCAGTCCACTATGCTGAACAGAAAGCATGAAGTACCCAGGACATAAATTAGGCACTTTGTGGGCATTCTTAGTAGTGGCTTAATCACTTGACCTCTGTGACTCATCTTTATTTTCAGACTTCTGAGGCTAGAATAATTACCTACTGTATCTGAGCAGACATTAAAATTTGGGAGTCAAAACAAATGTTACAGTTTAAATAGGATCTGGCTACCCCAAATCGTGCAGATGTTTACACCTAATGTCTTATGCTAATGGTTAATGGCTTAAGGGTAAAGATTGATCTAATTATGACAGCTGGCCAGAGGTTTTTTTCTGGTCATAGGAAGTGTGTTTTTGGAAGACCGATGTGCAAACTTAGCTTATATAAGTTTACCTTGCTTCCTGGGTCTTCATTATTTCCTGGGTCAGCTCAGTGATGCTCCCTCCGCATGACATCACCCTCCCTACTATTGGATCTTAGACTGGGAGCCCTTAAAATTGCAAGCAGAAGTAAAGCTTCCTTCCTCACAAGCTCCTTTCACATGTTTTACTTAAGGTAACAAAAGGCTGACAAAGAGTTCTGGTTGCTCGTTTCATGAAAATTCAGACAAAACCTGTTGCCTTTTCTTCCACAGATTTCCAGTCCTACAGCTTTTCACTCTCTTGTTCTGAGAAGACCCTTAACTCGCATTGTGCATGAGTCGCAGATGGCTTAGCATCCAGTTTTTCCTAAATTTAAATCCAAAAACTAACACTTATTTTGTATTTGCTTTAAATACTTTGACTGCTATGCTTCTGCTTTCTACATATTCTCTGAAAAAGGGGAAAATAGTGTTTCATTTAGAGTTTGCAATTATTAGATGCAAAAATGCCTGGGAAGATCTTAGAATAGTATTCTCTTTGATGCCCCTGTGTTGATCCTAAAGTTTCAGCAGAGTTGCCAGATAAGAAAAGTTTGAAGGTTCCATTGAAAATTACCTTTCTCTTTCATTTTGATTGCATTGTAGTTAAGAGTTGCTGAAATACAGTGACTTCTATGACCTGGATTTGAATGCTAATCAGCAGCAATTGACTGCTTTTCTTTTCTTTTTTTCAAGATTGTTTCAAAAGTCCTCTTTTTAGGATTTCTGTCCTCCTAATATCCAAACTTATTTATATAAATAAGCTTCCTTGATTTTGGTAAATGTGTATGTGTACTGTTAACAGACAAGAGAATAATGATTATAGTATTCATTGTAGGGACACTAACAAGAGCTTTTTATGAATTTTCTCATAGGATAATCAATCACAACCATCCCACAAAGTTGACACTATTATCATTCCAATTTTTTGGTTAAAAAAAAAACAAAACTGAGTTTAGAATTGAAAGGTTTTTGTCTCAGATTGACAGAACACAGCAAGAGCTAAGTTAGGATTTGATTTCATTTTCTTTCAAACACGGTATTAACTACAGAGCAAAGTAGAAACAGGCCAACATCACACAGTCACAGAGGGATCCAACTCTGAACAGGCAGGGACTGCATCAAATTTTACAAGATGCTTTTACTGATCACCTTTTGGAATAACCTACTATGATTTTTTCATTTAAAACTTTATATTGGGCCCGGCGCGGTGGCGCAAGTGCTTAAAGGTCCTCGCCTTGCACGCCCGGGATCCCATATGTGCGCCGGTTCTAATCCCGGCAGCCCCACTTCCCTTCCAGCTCCCTGCCTGTGGCCTGGGAAAGCAGTCGAGGACAGCCCAAAGCTTTGGGAACCTGCACTCTGTGGGAGACCCGGAAGAGGCTCCTGGCTTCGGATAGGCATAGTATCAGCCCGTTGCGCTCACTTGGGGAGTGAATCATCGGATGGAAGATCTTCCTCTGTCTCTCCTCTCTGTATATCTGCCTTTCCAATGAAAAAATAATAAAAATAAATCTTAAAAAAAAAAATTTTTATTTATTTAACAGATCTGATGAAAATGATGTAAATATGGGACATGTCAAATGTAATGTCAGAAGAGTCTTATAACCAGTGTTCATTTAAGAAATTAACATGTTTCCATCAGGGTGCTTCCTCTGTTTTGCAGAAACATATTCAGAAAAAAGCAAAGATCCACATATTTATGAATCCATTTTCCCTATAAGCTCAATACTAGCATGTAAAAAAAATGTCATTTTGGAACACAGTATGAAAATCAAATTTTCTGAGCCTTAATGCTAATTTGACTCTCTGCTTTGGTTGTGAATTTAGTTACTTTTTACTTACAATAATTCCTACCACTACTTACAACAGTTTTGACTGATTAAAATCTCTCTTTAAAACTGATCAGATATATTCAATACATTTTTAATGTAACATTTGCCTAATGAAATCAAAGTCTATTACGCTGAATGTCAATGACTGTTGCACAAGCAGGATCGTTTTGATCTTACAGTTATTATTTATGGAACACATCCTGATAACAATGTGGATAATTGTAACTGCAATACAATGAGACAAGTAGCACATCACAATTTGTTGTGAATTATCAAATCTGGAAGCCAATTGTAACTTAGAAAGTTATTTATTGACATTGACATCTTCCTGAAAGATGACTCAGTCTTATACTAATTTATTTTATAGTTAAAACCGTAACTTAATCCCACCAAAATTACATAAAGTAAATTGATTTTGATCATCTTGTTAGTAAAACACATATTATGCTTTTATCTACAGTTTTCTTTTTGTCCTTTAGATGTCAAAAGAAAAACTGCAGTGTTACCAAGGAACATGAAAATAGTCTTTAAAAACTGGAAAATTCATGAGATTTGAGAAGAAGCAAACAAAGAAACAAAAACCTTGAGACTAACAAATTAAAATTGTTGAAATACTTTAAGTGAGCAAGATAAAGCAATAAGATTTGGGCATAGTACTAAAAATGCATTACCTACTAATGAAAGATAACTATATTGTATAAAATGCTAAATAGTAATAGAGTGATTTTATGGGTGCATGAAACACTGTGCAATAAGATATACAGCAGGTTTTACTACTGTCAATGTGATTATTGTAATACCAGAGGAAATTTAAAATGCTGACTTTAAAGTAGTGCTTAGATTACATGAAAAATTTCAGAACATTTTCAAAGACCTATTCAGGCAGAAATTACATATGTAGTTATTGTATAAGGCTAAGCAGTTGTCAAAGATACATAAGTAAGATTCATTTTTAAAACAGCAATAGACATAAAATACTTGCATAAAAATAAAATGTTATCATATCAGATGAAAATTAATACTAAAGTACGAAAGACAAAAAGTTCAGATTATCAGGACCTATTGGAGGTAAGATTCCATATAATAATTGCTTTCATTTAAAAAAACACATTTTTAAAGTTTTCTTAAATATATTGCCATGATTTATTAAGAATTGTCTCACCACACATTATTAAGATGCAAATACTAACTAATAGACTTGATATTTGAAATAAAATGGTTCTTCAAAATAATTTTTGTCTCCTTTATGTACCTTGCAGTAAAATCTTGGCCCCCACAGTGAATCTGAAATTTCACTGTTTTCTTGTCATTTGAAAGCCAGTTAATGTGGTAAAGGAAATGCTGTAAGATGCCTTACCCATCATAGAGGTTGCAGGACTCAATGCAGACCTTTCCTCGGCTGAAGCGGCGGCATGACAAGCACTGGTCTGGTCCAGGTCCCCAGCAGCCATCATTTGAACACAGATGGTTGCACACCATCCCTTCAGCAGCTGCCAAACACACCCAAATCAAGGAAAATAAAAAGACAAGATTGTATCAAAATTTACAATCTTTCAAGGTAAAGCTATTTACAAACAAACCAGTTCAAAAGAGATTTTTATCAAAACAATTTTGATTTCCTACTCATATCAAAATATCCTACTCCAAGTTTTTCCCTATTGAGGAGTTCTAATCATTTTTTTTTTGTATAGTAATGCCAAACTTTTCATAACACTAGATAAAGGTCAATTGTTGCTATGAAGACTATAAAGAGAACAAGTGGTAGGAATTAGCTTTCCAAGCTAAGTACCTAATTATATCTTTCCCAAGGGAATACTTTGCTCCATTAATGCATCATACTAGCTTCAATTCAATCTGAGAGCTTTAGGAAGGACAGGAAAAAGCTGCATATATGTGGGAATACGATAGAAACTAAAGAGAAAACAAAAGAAGAAAAAGAAGGGGGCTGACATGTGGCATTGTAGCAAAATGAGTAAAGAAAATAACTGCAAAGTCTCCATTCTTAAGTAGATGATGGTTCTTGTCCCAGTGATTCTCTTCCAGCCCTGCTTCCTGCTGATGGCCTTGGAAAGGCAGCAGACTGTCAAAACAGTGGAGGAAAATAGGATGGAGTTCTTCACTGCTAGATTCGATCTTATCTTGATATGTTTGCTGTGGCCATTAAGGAAGTGAGGAACCAATGAATGGAAAATCAGTCTGTACTGCTCTCTGCTTCCGATCACCTTCTCCAGTGCCTCTGACTTACAAATACATTAAAAAAAAATTTTTTTTAAAGAAGGGTATTTGGAAGGCCATAGAGTACAGGAAAGGTGTTGAAATAAAATAGAAGAAGCGTTTTTTAAAACTTCTGCTACTGTCTAATCCTATCTTGATATTAATCAGGTTGGTACAAGGAACGAACAAGTTTTGAAAGTATATTCAAAAACTGCAGTGGTTATTTATGAGTAATGTAGATATTAAAATAATAACTATCATGTTCTCTCTCATTTCTGCTTTCTGCTGATGGGAAAAGTATCAAAGTACTTGAAGACTATGTTTTATAATTGGCACTTAAGATTTACCAGCCCAGTCCCTCTTTATACTGAATAGCATTTATACGAAACAAGGGCTCCCCAGAATTTTACTCAGATGTCCTAATAAAACTGTACTGAAAGATAGCAGATATTGGAAGAAAAAGTCTAAAATAATATAAATATGATTACTGGTTTCTAACAAGTGATTTCAGCCATCTAAAGCACAACTAACTGCAATATTAAGAATTAGGATGGGCACAGTGTTGAAGCGAGCTGATCTTCCATGCTATGGACCAGCATCCCAAATGGGCACTGGTTCACATCCTGGCTGCTTCAAGTCCAGTACAGCTCCCCGAAAATCAATATTGTGGGAAAGCAGAAGAGGATGGTCCAAATCCTTGGGTTCCTGGTCCCATGTGGGAGACATTGAAGAAACTCCTGGCTCCAAACTCTGGCCATTGAGGCCATTTGGGAGTAAACCAGTGGATAAAAGACTTCTCATTCCTCTCTATAAAATCTGTCCTTCAAATAAATTAAGCAGATCTTTAAAAAAATATATTATTAGAAATTACCAAGAAAATGTAAACATCAAAATCATTTTTGCGTCCTTGCTAATTACCAATTCATGCAAGATATTCTGGAGAGTGAATCTGTGGGTACACTGGGAGGCCACTGAATGTTCTAGAAATATAAGCAAGGATCCTGACTGAAGTGTGTGGAAGTTAACTTTTCTAATGTGCTTACGAGTGAATTGCCAGCATCTGTGATCCTGACTAGTTTTGAAACAGGAAAACGGATCCTCACATCAATGTTCTCTTTTTCCTATAGTCGGGCTGTTTGCACGTTCCTATGTCAAGATGGGTAAAATGTTTTCTAAGGGCCCACTCAGGCCTAACAACAGAGCCTTTCACTTCATAACCATGTAACTAAATAATCTCTTGCTGTGTTGTTTATTAAAGGTCTGTGAAGCAGTTTTATTGAAATATATGACATAATATATACTGCTTAAATGTACAACTTGATGAGCTTGACATACATATGTACTCTCAAACCACATCCACGTTCAAGATCATGAGTGTATCCATTACCTCCAAAAGATTCCTCAGATATGGACATAAGCCTGCACCCTGACACCACTCCGCTGGGGAAGCCACTGGCGTTTTCTATTACTCGTTGTCTACTAGTTTGCATTTTTTTTAGAATTTTATAGAACACAATTATTTAGAATATGTTCTTTTCTATGGGTTCTATCAGTCAGCATGATTTTTAGGGCTGCATCTATGTGACTTTATGTAGTAACAAGTTATTCATCCTACTGCTGTGTATATATTGCTTACATTATTCCACACATTTAATATACTCACTTATTGATAGGCATTAGACTGTTTCCCATTTTGGGCTATTAAAATGCATCTAACTTGACCTTCTGTTGACAAGCCATTCCAGAAATAGACACTCTCATCTCTGGGAGAGCAGTGGAATGGCTCTACAGCGTGGCAGGGATGGGGTTAGTTTTGTAAGACACTGATCATGTATTTGTCAAAAGCTCGTGATGGTACATTTTCATCAGTGAGGAACATAACTGGAAGCTGCATGACACCACTCTTTTGTCCACACTTGATATGGTGAGCAGTTCAATTTTAGCCTGGATGTTAGGTGTGGGAAACTCAGTACAGTTTTTATTTGTACCTTTGTAAGTGACGATGCTGTGAACATATGTTTGTGTCAATATTAGCTTCTTTCTTTTCAGTATGTGTAAAGAAGTACTGGCTCATATGGGAACAGCATCCAAACCGGTTACTGCTTCTCAAGCAAAGGACCAAAATGTCCTACAGAGCACGTGTACCGTATCATGTCTGAGAAGCAGAGGATGTTATGTTATATCACTACATTTCTCCAGAATTTCACTTTGTCATTAAAAGAAATACTCTGATAGCTTTAGGGATAGACAACTAATTTGAAAATTTTGTAAAACAGCTAATAACCTTGGATACTTTTTATTAAGCTTATTTGCAATCACTCCTATACATTCTCCAGAGAAATAGCCCTTCATATCTTTGCTGATTGCATTATTTGTTACTGAGTGTTTTGATTTCTTTTTTCTTTCTTAAGATTTATTTTATTTTCATTACAAAGTCAGATACACAGAGAGGAAGAGAGACAGAGAGGAAGATCTTCCATCCGACGATTCACTCCCCAAGTGAGCGCAACGGCCAATGCTATGCCGGTCCGAAGCCAGGAGCCAGGAACTTCCTCTGGCTCTCCCACACGGGTGCAGGGTCCCAGAGCTTGGGCCGTCCTCGACTGCTTTCCTGGGCCACAAGCAGGGAGTTAGATGGGAAGCAGGGCCACTGGGATTAGAACTGGTGCCCATATGGGATCCTGGTGCGTTCAGGGTGAGGACTTTAGCCGCTAGGCCATGCTGCTGGGCCCTTGGTTTTTTTATATAATTTTCTTTTCACTTATCTACAATGTATATACCTATATACCAAATATCTATTATCTGATTTTTGTGGAGCAAATATTTTTAACTTAAAGTAAGTCTAATTTAACCATTTCCCCTTTCTTTCAAGGTAAAATGTTTCATTTGCTTAGTCTACATCCCAAATAGTTGCACTATTTTTTCCCTTGAAAGTTCTACAACTTTGAATTTTATATTTAAGTCCATTATCTGCTTTTATATAGCTGTATAATTTAAGATCCACTTGCTCCAGCACCATAAACTCTATAACTTTCCTTCAGTTAGACAACTTGACTTCTCTATTCTGCTTATTCATTTGTGTGCTTATTCCTCCCCCAACACAACATGCTCTTAAAATTATAGCTGTGATGGGCCCAGCACTATAGCGTAGTAGTTAAAGTCCTCGCCTTGCATGCACTGGGATTCCATATGGGCGCCGGTTGTAAACCTGGCAACCCTGCTTCCCCTCCAACTCCCTCCTTGTGGACTGCGAAAGCAGTCAAGGACAGCCCAAAGCCTTGGGACCCTGTACCCATGTGGGAGACCTGGAAGAGCTCCTGGCTCCTAGCTCCTGGCTCCTGGCTTTGGATTGAGGTAGCACCGGCTGTTGTGGACACTTGGGGAGTGAACCATCGGACGGAAGATCTTCCTCTCTGTCTCTCTTCCTCTGTGTATCCACCTTTCCAATAAATAAATAAATAAATAAATAAATAAATAAATAAAATTATAGCTATGTTAGAAATATTGACATCAGTAGACTGAATGCTTCACTTAAATGCCTTTTTGGCAAAGCTGCTTATCAATTTGGTAGAATTAATCATTTTATGATTTTGATTCTTCGATTATAAACATTGAAATTTGTATGTACATCTAGATGTTTCCTGCATTCTTTCATCACTAGTTGTAGTTCCAGTGATAATCAATCTATCTGTAGTTTAGATTTCTATATCCATCTGTAATTTCTAGTATTCAGATACAATTTTATATCCTAGAATTATCTTAAATTCATCTATTTGTTTTAGATGTGTTTTGTGTCGACAAACAGGCAACCAGCAGACAGGGCTGGTTTTACTTCTTTCTTTTAAATGACTGTGGCTCATTTTCTTTTTCCTTTTTTTTTTTTTATGGTCCCATTCTGCTGATTAGAACTTAAAATAGATAGGAATAGAGCCCTTTTCCTTTTTTTTTTCCATTGGTGTCAAGAGTGACACTGTGGTCAGTTTCTGCCCATCGGTCCCCCCCCTTCCCCCACACTGTGTAACTGACTGGAGTGGAGAAGTGGCTGTCACCTATCTGTCTTGCTAATCTGCTTCCACCTGGTCCTCTGGGTAGACAGAAGAGAATTTTGCTGGGGAATATTTGGTCTATACCAATCAGCATTTCTACATCTGGCTTCTATGAAAGAAAAGTAAAACCCAGGACCTCATGTCTGTCATTCTTTGGATTCTACTTTCCCCAAATGGTCTACTTCTTTCTATCCAGCTTTCAGAATCTTACGCTTCTTTTATAATGTTCA